AAAATTCATTTTTTAATCGTTAAAAAAAAGGCATATCTCTTTATCTTTATGTTTTTTAAATTAGAGTCATTGCTTTTGATTAAATTAATAGAGAAAGGACTTTTATGAAATAGTTCTTGTGATATTCTTATTCCGGAACGAGATTATGGTTCTTATATGTAGATCTTATTCTATTTATCCAAATCATGAATTAACTAACTTTAAAATTAAAATAATTTAATTTTAAAGTTATTAAAAAGCAGTTAATTAAAAATAATAGTTGTAATTTTGCTTTGAAATATTAATAATTATTAATTATGGAGTATTTGCATGATATCAAATTAATAAAAAGCAACAACTGTTAAATGTTTCGTTGCTTCGCTGCTCTCGTAATTTAATTTTAATTTAGAATAGGGGTATTTGTTAGCTTCAATTTTAGTTTTTACAATATAGGACCCCTAAAAAATTACACCAAACAAGGAAAAAAATAAATAAATAAAAATTAAAAATTATTTAAAATTACAAATTATAATCGATTACTTGATAGAAGTTGCTCTTGATCTAATGATTAGAATGTAGAAAAAATTATTAATGGTCATAATTATTAAAGACTTTGTGCTTTATGAAATCAGAAGTAAACTTAAAAAGAAACAAAGTTGAAAAAGTCTACAGTATTTTACAAAGATTTTCAAACAATTACAAGTAATAATTCATAATTATGAGATTATTTATTGTGTTAGTATTTGCATAACGATGACAATAATATTAATAAATAACAAGTTTCAAAACAATTGTTCATTATTTAATTCACATGATAAAAAATAAAATATGCTTTATTTCAATTAATTTTATTTAGTGGTATATGTAATTCGCAAGCAATAATTATCAGTATAATTTAAACAATTTAATATACTTAATATATCAAATAGAATAACTTTGTCATTTCTTTATTTTGAATTTTATCAGAATTGATGTGTTAAAAATATGATAACATTTTTGAGATGAAGACTTTATTGCTTTGAAAACGACTCTATAACATTGCTTAAAAGCAATCATTTCGCTAAGTTTTTTTAAAAAATTTCTGTTGATCAAACCAATAAATTAATACAATGGTATCCAAAAACTAAATTAGATTGTAAAATAAAATTTGATCTACATATTAAAGGAATATAAACAGTTAAAGGAAAATCAGTTCCACAGGCAAAATTTCATTGTTTTTACGAAAATGGTATAGTGTTTCAAAGGCAAGATGTCATTATTTTTACAAAAATGGTATAATTTTATTTGGTTAGTGATAAATAAAAAATAAAAATTAAATTTCGTGGGAAAAGTTAGGGTTAGGGTTGATCAAGGAATTATGTAATTTTGCCCGGCGGTGACAATCACCACCGGTGTTTTCATTTATAATCATCTCGCAGGCGCCAATGATATGCAGTAGGTCACTTTTTTATAATTTCGAAAAGCATTTTGTTAAGACGTGCATTTCTGTCACGAGATTTGGTTTGGCATCAAATCTGCTTGGTTCGATAATTTGTAAAATATCTTCACTTAGAAGTGCAAAATATTTTCTTTGGTTTCACATCTTTAACTTTGAAAAATTACCATTTATTGCTTAATTTGTATAAGTAATACAAAAATTCGTTTCACAATACTGATGTGGTAAATGAATAAAAATTCTATGTAGAATTTAGATGATGGAAAATAATGATGGTAAAATGAAGCAAACATCTCATATAATTCTTAGAAGAGGTTTTTCTAGAGGATGGACACCACATGTGGGAATATGAAAATTTAGTACAAATTATACGCAGGAAACTCTAGGCTTAAAACGTATATCTTAATAAAAGATTAAATGAATTTCCATATGTCGGAATGAGACAGTCATCGTCCATAATTATTATAAATATTCGCACATTGTACACCCAAAGGAGCCATCCCCGGGGGTTTTAAGTCAGCCTACAGGCTATTGACAATTGCTATTGTATTTTTGTGTAATTTAATTTAATAAATAAAATTACATTATACTGAGAATAGTATATCTCTAACGTAATCAAGTATCGCTAATGGTGGTGGAAATTCTTCTAGAGTGACATGTTATTATTCACAATATACACCTAGCATATATAGCTATTCATGAATAATCGGTAGTGGGTTCGTAATCGCATTTTGTTTTAGAAAACAAAATGTTTATTTTGCTATGACATTACGGAATCTATGGAAAGAAAATTCTACAGGCATAGAAAATGAGCTTAAATGAGTTTTTCCCTAGGGAAACCAGATTCAGTCATCCAAGGTTGCTTCATTGGTTCAGCGGAAACTAGTATGTACTCAGGCTCCCCAACCCGAGGCTCCTCAACCTCAATCCCCTAGCTTCAGAATTCCAAATCTCATATAATGCTCTATTTGAGGGATTATTATACTAATCAGCGGCTTCTCCAGATACAAGTTAATAAATGGCAGAAATACACCACCAATTTCCAAAAACTTTCATACACCATTGAAAAATTGGCTGTTGGTCGCTCTCAACCACCTTCAGTATATGATGTCTTTATGCGGGCCGCCCAATTTTTTGTAACTACTGCTCTGCTTTCTTAACCTTCCCTCCAGATAGTTACCGGGATTTTGTATCTAAATTTAGTTTGACAATTGGTTTGCCCATTTTTGGGGAATCCTCGTCTAATGTTGCGGATAACCAGATACGAAAAGCAATATTTTAATATGTCAAATCCACCCTAATCTGGATGTGAGAATAATGATTATTCCGGACTACAATTCGTTTTTTTGCGTGATTATTGAATTCAGCATTATATTAAAGATTGTGTTTGTTAATCACATTACTCCTTGCCGAATGAATACATGCATATTTTCCTTCACCAGTGTGCGTGAACATATGATGCTTCAAATTCTCTAATCTTTTGAAGCTCCACCTACATCCTGTCCATTCACATTGATGATGATAATTATGACCACGACGATGATGACGATGATGGTGATATGGCCGTAAGGATGATAAAGAACTCGAATTTGAAAGAGTTTTGAAATAGAATAAAATACTGAGAAAGAGTTCGATGGAAATAATGAAGAACTAGAAAAATTTGGTGATGGCGAGAAATTAAAATATTTAGAAGATGAAATATCGATTTGAAACATGAATGAACAGCTGGAATTTGAGAAATAGATGGACGTCTAGAATAATTCAAAGATGTTGTTATATTTGTGATATTACGAGCTAGTGACATTGAAGGAACAATATAAACTTTATTTGTATTTGAATGTATTTGTGGGCTAAATTGATTTTGATTTGATTTATTATTATGATTGTGATTATTATTATTGTTATGTTATTATTTTATTATTTTCAATATTAGGATTAATTATCACTTGCATATTGAGGATGTGTCAATATTGATGATGTCTTATTATTACTATTATTTACATTATTGATGATGCTAATATTATTGATATTATTATTATTATCAATGCTGTTATTGATATTATTGCTATTGTTGTTGTCACCGTTATTGTTGTTATCATCATTCAATTCTAAAGATCAGGCATTAAAGAGAATTGTTATAAAGAATTTGATGTTTGTTATTATTAGTATTATCACGTGCAGTTGGTAATTGAAAAGTATTATGAATATCGTGAATATTGTGAGAATTAAAGTTGTTATGATGAATATTTCGAATGTTGTGGTAATCATTGTTTAAATTATTTTGAGAGTGTTGATAATTTTAGAAGTTATAGAACTTGTAAACGGTGAAATTAAATTTGAGTTTATTGAGGTCGAAGAATTATGAGTAGAATTTATTGAATTAATCGAATTAATCGAATTAACCGAAGAATTGAAAGAAAGAGTTGGAAATTTACGTGAATAAAGATGATTATGTTTATATTTAATAGAGGATGGATAAAGGAATAGTATGAACGATTGTATTAAAATGATTATAATGATAATCAAGATGATTTAAACAATTTAACATTGTAGGAATGATTGGATGTTTAGAAGGAGGTGGTAGAGAAAGAGGAAGTAGAAGAAGAGACGGAGTTGAAGGAATAACTTGTGTCTTAGTCCTACAGATTTTTAACAATTATTATTGAAATCAATTAATGAAAATTATTATTATTATTATTATGTAACAAATAATTATCTTCTTCCGTAATCCAAGTGTATCTTTTATTAGATGATGATGAAAAAGATTTCATAATCCTCTTTTATCATTATTATTATTATTATCTCGTCAACATTTCTTCAGTATTATTTATCTACAATATTTTATTCGATTCATTTTGCTCTATTTCTTGTTCACATTTACTACGTCCACTTTTCTTGTTGATAATGATTTGGATGATGAAAGTTTTGTTTTTGTTGTTGGTTATGGAGTTGTCGACTTTTAAGGAGTAATAGATGATGATTAGGATGGTGATGGTGTAGTAGTAATTGAAGATTTACGAAGAGTTATTTTTTCAAGTGTTATAAACTGAAATATATTTCTTTTCATCTTCAGTAAGATAACTTTATCCTTATTATTATTATTATTACGTAATATCCGCTTAGACCTAGTCTTAATGCTACGCCTTTCTTTGGACGATGTTATTTGTCCCCATTATTAATATCTTTATCATCATCATTATTAAAATCATTATTATTACTACCATCATCATCACCATCATCATTATTTTTTCGAAAGGATTCAGTTTGATGATTATCACTTTACCACGACTTGACCATCATCACGACTTCGTTTATTGAATGGAGATAGTTTGAGAGGAGTTTCGTTACCTTTTTTATCATTATTATTATCTTCGTTATCTTCTTTCGTTTGAGTTATTTTTTGATGACAATGAAGATGATGGTTTCACTTTGGAATGCCATGAAAGAATATATTGGAGAGATGTTTATTATAAAAATATTTAATGTTCGCTTAAAAAAAATTATAATAAAGAGAACAATATATATAATAACACAATCAAAATTTCGTTAGTATTATTATATATATTATATATTATATGAGTAAGTAATATTGAAAATTAATCAAAACTATTTAGCTTGAGTATCCATACATGGTATATTAGTTCGAATACATAATGCTTTCTTCCTTAACTTTTTATCGTCAATACAATATACTGTATATATCCTTGACACAAAGGTAATTCTCAAAGTATAGTAACTTTATACCAGATTCGATTAACTAATGAATATAAAGTAAATCTTGAGTTGATTGAACATAATCATAAATATTATATTATAAACGTGATACGATACGATTTTTTATACAAAAAAGGCAACTAAAATTTCTACAGAATTATTGATTATAATTTTTAATAAAGTATGAAACTACCCTGATGTAATGATTACCAAATAATAACCAAAATACGTCATAGTACCATACCTTACAATTGTATATATGTATATGCGCAGAAAGTTAAACTTCTGCTGTTCTTTTTCTAAGAGTTTTTTTAATTTCACAAACTTAACATTGTCTGATTACTGAAAAAAATAAAAAAATTATAATTCAAACAAATTTTCACTTCAATATTATCTTTGTTAAATGGGTTTAAATTATAAATAAGCAAAGGAAAGATATATGAAAAACTTTTAATTCTTTAAACAATCGTTTTAATTTTTATAGGAAAATCTGAATATTTATATCCAAATAACAATTTTTCAATAAGAAATATTTATTTGATATATTTGAAAAATACAAGATATACATAAAATTATAATAATAATTTTGTTTTTAATACTTTATATACAAATAAAATTATCTTTATTACTAAAATATAAGTATATAGTATAATATCTTTTATTTTTCCAAAATTCTACCTCATGTCGGTTTTCATATGCTATATTGTTTTAGCAAATTTCACAAGGTTTTTTGTAGGGAATTTGAGAGCACTTAAATGAATAAATAAATTTAATAAAAAAATAATTGATAACAAAAAAATAAAAATATGAAAATAATAAAATATAAAGTTTAATAAGAATAACAATAAAAATCAATTTTTTTTAATCTTGAATTCGATACTAAAAATAATATATAATTATGTAATACAAAATAATTATTAATTACCACACCACCACATAATTTATTGAAATTATCAGCGATAGGTTTATCAATGAACAGATTATCCGTGACTTTATCACGGATATGGATATCCATAATTAAATACGTATCTTGACTTTTGTACTTTGGTGACACATATAAAATAAAATTTTATAGCTTAAAAAAAAATCAAAAAGCTATGAAATTCGAATGAATATCAAAATACTTCCTGAAAAAAAATCAAAAAAAATAAAGATGACAAGATATATTACAAATTAACAAAGGACAAAAAGAACTTTATTAAAAAAAAATATGAAATTCATACCAGATGAATGTTAAGATAGTTACCCTAATTCTAAATAATGTTAATAAAGTTTCAAT